ATGTTGGTTTATAATGGAGCACTGTAACAAAAAATAATTTCCCCCAGGGATCAATAAAGTATTCTGATTCTGACACCATCACCATCAGCCTCCACAGAGCACTGAGCCATCTGGAGAACAGGAAGAGCTCCGTGAGGGTGCTCCTCGTCGACTACAGTTTAGCATTTAACACAAAAATCCCAAAAATCAACGAACTGGACCACCAGAACATCCCCTCTGCCACCTTCCCCTGGGCCAAAGACCTCCTCACCAACCGGCCCCAGTCTCCAACCCACCCGACCACCGTCATCATTAAGTATACCGATGATACCACCGTGGCTGGTCTCATCTCTAACAGACATCAGACAGTGTGCAGGGCAGAGGTAGAGAATTTGTCCTGCTGCTGCTCAGAAAACCACCTGAAACTGAACATCCAACCAAAGAACTCATCATGGACTTCAGGAGGCACAGACGAGTCCACTCCCTCTCATTATAAATGGAAAACAGGTGGAAACTGTCTCCACCTTCAGGTTTCTCGGGCACCTACGTCGCCACCAACTTCAGTTGCACTTCCTCCGTGTCCTGAGGAAGAAAAACTCGGACCAGGAGCTGCTGGCCTTCCACCACTCCTCAGTGGAGAGCGTGCTCTCCTCCTGCCTGGTGTTGGTACACAGGGGCCAAAAGAGAACAAGGAGGCTGCGCAGAGGCTCATTAACACTGACCAAAATCAGTGGCTGCCCTCTGCTACCACTCGAGGTCATCATCAGCTCCTCCTGTCTCAGGAAAACTAGGGCTGTTACAGGTGACCCCTCACATCCCACTCACCACCTGTTTGACCCCCTGCCCTCCAGACGCACCTCAGGTCAATCAGGGGCCACACCTCCAAACGACCTAACTCACACAGGACAACTCCTGAACAGTTTTTACTCTCCAGCCACGTCCACGCTGAACTCAGAAACCCCTACTTGATTGTTTTTAATGTTAATACATAGTCTTATTCTCCAATTTATTATGTGCATCAATGCTACTTTCTAATTATTACCTTTGCATACATTTATATTCCGTTGTTGTATTTATGCATGAGTCTGTATCTCGTCTTTTTCGTTGCTCATCTTGAAATCACGTTGGCCAGCTCGCCGCTTTTATTTTGAAATCACTTCTCTGCTGCAGCACGTGGGGGCTAGCTTGACTACATTACTTTAAGTGGAGGCTAACAAAACTATCATACACAGCAGAGACTAAACACACAAAGCAAAAGAATACCAGTGATTATTAGACGACATGTGACAGAAACAACGTGCATTAAAGATATGAAGTGTTTTTAAAATGTCAACATTTATGCGGTTTTCTGAATGACTTCCTCTTACCTGCGAACCTGAGACAAAGGTAAGCTTTTGCGTCTGCTCCGACCCGGATGAAGATCCGTTTTAATGAAACTATAGTTTCAGAGCGAAACCTGCGAAGTTAGAGCGGAGACGGAAAAAAGAAAGTAAAAATACACATTAGAAAGTCCAAAAACAGCTTTTCGCCCAGCAGCGACCAACCGCGTCTGAAACCTCCAGCACAGTGCACGCGCCAACACGAAACGACTTCCGGTGTGTCAGATTAACTGGTTTTTATATTAACTGGTTATGTTTGTTTACACAGGCTTCTTTCATCGTTTTTAAAGAGTAGTCGCATGAAGATTAAATACCTCAGCACAGAAATAAAAGTTGCACTCAACAGTTCATCGTTATGTGTCTAGTTGGGAAGTTTATTAACCAGCATTATTATTGTTTATTATAAGTCTACACACTCATACCTTAAAAACACCTCGGAATATAATATGATGCATTTACAGAAGTCAATCAATTAATTTCTCATCTTAATTTACATGATTTTCATTGTTGAGGCAACACACAGCTCTGCTCAGGCAACACACAGCTCTGCGTTGCTGTTTCTCTACCCTAATGTAGAATCAGCATAAAGAAAGTTGTTATTAAAAGACATTTTTCTCTAACAGTTTTGACTGTTGCGTGTATCAGACGGCTGTGCGTCAGACTGTTGATTGTGCAGTAAAAACATGGTTACAGATTGTTATAGACTTCTTTAACGTGGAAGAGAAGCTTAAGGGGGGATGTCTCTGTAGACGATCTACCCAAGAATATTTCTTCATATACATTTTTCTTTCTTTGCTTCCTCCACAATGACGGGCATAACAACATGAGTTAAGAGTAAACTGTACTCGGAGACGTGAGGACCAAACTAACATCCCGGTTTAGTCGTTTCCCTGTAAATGGTGCTGATAGTGTTTTTCTACTAGAACATCTCACTCACCAATTCAAATATAAGCACCTATTCTAACATTGTCACACATTCTTGTGCTCTTGTTTGCACATTTGCACGTGCACTTTGTTGTCTGCTGTCTGATAACAAAAAAAAAAAAGTCTTCCTTAGTTGTTTTTTTATTAATTTATGTTGTAATTTATGTTAGGTCAGTCTGTCTTGTCTCGGCTAGCCAGCTAACTAGGCCTCTTAGTTAGCTAGTTTAGAGTTTTCTGTTAAATTATGTTGTAAATTTATGTTGCATGTAGCACCTTGGTTCCTGGAGGAACGTTGTTTCGCCTCACTGTGTACTGTTAAACTGTATATGGTTGAAGTGACAATAAAGCCAACTTGACTTGACTTGACATTCAGTCCCATTATTGCACCAGAGAGCAATTTGAGGTTAGTATCTTGGAGACTGGAGAAGCCGCGGATCAAACCACCAGCCTCGCACTGGTAGGTGACCTGACCCAGCTCCTTGTGCTGAACTTACCAACAATCATCATTAGTTCTGAACAGGTCACATTTGCAAATGAAGTTTAATGAACAACCACCAGCATTTGTAAAAAAAAAAAGAAAAAAAAAAAACAAAGAAAGAAAGAAAGAGTAAGTTTTATTTAAAACAAAACACTTCTTCAATATATTAAAGTCCGTGGTTGCGACTGACGTTTCTTGTGATGAATCAGCCAGTAAACTCCAATGACGACCTGGCTCCACTTCCTCTCATTGTACAAAAACAAAGCCTAAGTTTCCCGTGTGTGGCGCTGTTAGGTCATCCATGTTTTCATAAACCTTTTTCCAAAACTTTCCATGGCCCAATCCATTGGGCCCTCAGTGTGGGGAAGCATCCCTGTATGGAACTGACCTCCCGGCCCAGTGTTCAGTCAGTGCTGCTAGTTTCAGTCACTGTGCACATGTCCTGTTTCTAAGGTTGGAAACCTGCAGTCAGCTGAGACAGAAGAAGTCACCTGATGATGATGAAACGTTTCTCCCACTGAAACGTCCACATGAACAGAATCAACCTTTGGATTTTCTTACCTGGATGATCGAGCATCAAGACGTCTCCTAGTTCTGTCCAACACAACCTGAATAAATCAGAGTGCAGCACTTCGGTCATTTCTCTACAACAAATATACCAACAAGTAATCAGATGTAGCTCTCAGCACTGGCTCCTTCAGGCTGCGATAAGCTTGACATGAAACTACATCGATGTAAAGGCACATGCGTGATGCTAACAGCACCGTGTGACTGACAGTGGTGCTCAGGTGAAACAGGTTCTGTTGACAGGTGTGTGGGAGGATCACAGTTTGTGATGCTGTGTTTTTATACCTGTAGATGTTTCTGTAATAGTCCACATTTGCTTTCAACGCTATCACACTCTGGTTGTTTCATTCACGCAGTCAACTTTACGATGGAGGAGTTTAGTGAGTCACCATCAGCAGATGGAGCATGTTGCAGAGCGTCACTAGAAACTGTTGAGTAAATATTGGAAGAAGGTGTGTCCAACAATAAGACTGCATTCATTTCTTACATTTATTCATACACTTGATCCTTTACTAAACAGACTGTAACAGGGAACAGTCATCGATCCTGAACAGTCACTCAGCAAAACCAATAAATAATAAGTTTAACTGACAGAACCAAATAATTTAGCTTCACTTTGAGAGATTTTTAGATTATTGTAACGATGAACGATCCTCAGGATTATCAGCCTGTGTAAAACTACAGGATGACATGCAGGCTCTGTGGGACCGATGATGATACCTCAGAGGCAGAAACACTCATCTGTGGAAGGAGCTGGGTCTGCTGGGAGTCACGCTGGGGGCCACCGTGGGTTTGTGACCTTGAAAAGTACCAACTTCAACAACTTATTCACAAAGCAGAGAACTTCCTCTAGAACACAAACGTATCAGTGGATACAGCACAGAGGGCTCAGTCACTGATGTATTCCTCTATGGTCAGGTCTTCGTCCTCTAGGAGGACTTGATTTAAGGTGGGCTGGGGTTGGCTGGCTGGCAGACCCTCCTCAGCACCACCTGCCTCTTTCACCTCCTCCACCTCACTGTCCATTTCCAGCTCGCCTGATTCTTTGTCAGTCAGAGCCTCTGGTTTTAATCTGGACACACAAGAGCAAACCAAAGACCAGAGGTCAAAGATCAGGTTAAAACACGAGGTCACTGACACGGGACACCACTATGATGTGTTACAGTATCCACGGTAACAGGAGCACAACTAGAACTTTAAAGAGACAAAAGAAGAAAACTCTTAAAACATGTACATTTGTAACAATAGCAAATATGAACACTGCAGCAGCTGTAGTAGAACACACAAAGTTCTGTTGGCATTATTACCGTTCTGTCAGAAGACATCGTTACTTTGTTAAAACAACAGAAACATTTGTTCTTCGGTCTGATCAGTTATGATGACCTCAGCCTGCTGTAGCCACACAAACAGAGCTGATAAAACAAGCGCACCACGTCCAACCTACTGACATGTTCCAGGAAACGAAAGAAAGAACAGCAACAAGGACCAAACAGCTGGTGAAAGAAAACAGCCATCCAACCCTCAGTCCAATCACTCCTGTTCTACCTGCTCCCTGACAACTGTGTAGTGACAATAAAGACATCCTGTGCTGTTTGACAGTAAACGACAGAGTGTGGTACCTGCTGGAGAATCTCCTCAGTGACATCTGCCCCACATCCTGGATAAATGTTATTTGGTCTGTAGGAACAGAGCAGCACAGACATGAGTCCACAGCTGTGCTCAGCACATTAACATCACTAACATTACGTCAGGTATGTGAGTGATGCCTCAGTTCACTGCAACAACTACCATTGACTCAACATGTGATTCTCACAGTAATGATGCTCGGCTCTGAGCTCTGTAAGGAGGCCACACAGCTGTGCTGTCTGTGTCACTCTGTGACAACATCAGGAATCATTTTCACACGAGTCACAAAAACAATTAATTAAATCATACTGAGTTATGGATACGGTGACGTGATGTATTAGCTAACAGTGACAGGTGGAAACAACAAACCTGCTTTGCTCTAAGGCAAAAACTACAACCAGCCCAGCCGAGCATCACTGCTGCACCTCTCTGTGACTGGAACTGACATGGATGCAACGGAGGGCTTTAAGCAGCTGGTTAAAAAGATCGAACAACATCCCAGGAAGGATGTTTGTTCACGGTCAGCGTGCTCAGGTATCAATACTGTGAAGTTCCTTCAGGTATTGTTAAACTGTTATACTGAAAGTTTCCAGTGAAAACAGGCTTGACTAACGCTGTGTCACTACATGTGTCACTGCTACACTGCAGTGCATCTGGAAAATGCTGACAGCGCTTCATGTGCTGCACATTTTCTCCTGTTCCAGCCTTATTCCATCATTCTGCACGTATGATGAAGGGAAACGTGCTTCAAACTGTTGAGTGCTTTGAGTGAATTTAATCCATTTTAAAAGTGGAACATGACAAAAAGTGGAACAACTGGAGCGCTGTCAGTGTTGTTTGGATCCTGCGAGTGATGCTGCAGAATCACACTTCTAATGAGGTGCTGTGACACAAACGAACTGTCTGCAAACTCCACTCCTTAATAAAACAGGTTTTCCCTGAAAGTACCCCCCGTGTACCCGTGGGCCTTACCTTGGTTCCTCATAGGGTTGGTGAGTTTGGCCAAGTATGGAAGCAGCTCAGTCTGCAGGCTGAGCGGAGTCAGGCAAAAGCTCCGGAACAAGGACTGGGCAGCCACACAGTTCTCCCAGTGCTGCCAGGGACAACAGCAGAGTTAGCACACCATCACTGTCACTATGTGCAGTTTGGAATGATTTGCATCAAACTGCATCCCCTGAAAAATACACTCTTATTGTACAGGAGCAATGATCCAAATAAGAAACATCACTATGACGCTCCAAACTTCACAGGGGACTGAAGCCGTGTGTGGCTGAGAGGCTGTTTCAGAGAGAGCCACTGCAGGGCTGTAAGGGAGCGAGTGTTTGGTGAAACTGTCCAACTGAAAGGTGTACATGGACTGACAGATCTGAGGGACCACAAACTCTGCTCAACTGATGGCAGTGAGCTTTGGGAGGAGCTGGGCTCCATCACGTCTCCACCTCACCGGAGCAGCCACAGAGGGCTTTCAGCACCATCGTCCAGACGCGAGGTAAGGTGGCGGAATTTGTCGGTGTTCTTGAAAAAGGAAACGTGACATCTCTGATGAGTGCATCCAGGCGCTGGCCCTTTTGGCACCACCGTTGCCACGGCAGCGTGAAGAGAAAAAGAACGAGGGCGACGCCGTGCAGCTGTGCCTTCATAGACCCAGGCCGTGCCCACACCTCCACCCGCTCGCTGCATGTCTGTCCAGGTCACTGGGCACCAGCCAGCATGCTGACACTTAAAATCCCCTGCAGACAGCTCCACAGGATCCCAGTATCCAAACCCACTGGCCTAGAAAGCACATCCCACCTACTGCCACTCAGGGTCCCCCAGTCACAGACAGTTGGTCCCCCAGAGGAAGAGGACGGCCTAGCATCTCCCACAAGAGAAGGTCCTCAGCGGTGTCCAGCCACATGACACCTGGTCAAACATGTGCCACCCATGCATCCATAGGCTGCACATCCCCTGGACTGCAACACCCGGTTCTGCCACAAGAGGGAGCCAAACACCTTGTACTGTGGCATTGGGTCATCTCTCAACAAGAATACAGAGACAGTAGGATCATGTTGCACTACAGTGGGTTGGGAGGACCCCCCCCACATTACAATCTGCAATCACCCCTCCATTAATTTAACATAGAGGTTTTCTCCCTTTCTAGAAGAGAACTGGAAGGAATTCTGCAGCAACAAATATCCTCGTTGTTATCACAGAGAGCGATCCAGGAAGCATTGGAGGGTTGTTAAGCATGAACAGCCTGT